AAAAAAAAAAAAAAAAAAATTAATAAAATTAAAAATATCGTATTAAATTTTATTCGTTCTAGATATTTTTTTCTATATTGTAATTTTTATTTAAAATTAGTGCAAAAAGCAGTAACTAAAAATGATTAGTTTATTAGTAAAATAATTTAGAAATTTTTCATAATAAAATCATAATAATAAATAAAATCACGTGAAATAATAAGTTGATATATAAATATACAATATTTTTAAATAGTTAATAAATAGATTAACAACCAATATTGTTTTTAACATAAACAGAATTTGACAACTTTGACTATATTTGACAACATTCGAATAATTGCACACTTTTTAAGAGCTAAAAACACTTATAAAATTTTTTATTAATTATATTTCTATTAAAACTTTTGCTATAAACTTTGTATTATTTTAAATTATTTTAATATATTAAAGTTCTGCTTTTTTTAAAACATCATTTTTTGTTATAACTAACTTTACTTTGCATAGCTCGAGTTTAACTAAAAGCTTAGTAAATATTTTATCATTTTTAATAAAATAAACTATTTAAGTTTTTATATTTTTTAAAATATTAAATAAGCAATCTAAATATAAAAAAAATATTAAATAATTCAAATATATTTGAATTATTAGAATAAAAATAACTATTCTATATTACAAATTATTATAAAGTAATCATGTTCACAAATATAGTCACTAAATCTAAAAAATCTGCAAGAAAAGAAAAAGTAAGAAGATGTAGAGGAAAGCAGTCAGTAAAAAAAAAGAAGTGATAGAGCAATTTGATAACATGGATACAGATTCTTACTTTTATTCCTTCAATGATTCGAATACTTCTGATTATATTTAAATTATTTTATAATATTCATAAATAAATTTTTAATTTATAAATTTATTAATTTTTATTAATATTAATAACATAATATAGCAAGAACATTAGCAAAAATTTTAGAAAATCAGGGTGAGATTCTTTACAAAATTAAGAAACTAACTTCGCAAGTTATTTGTCTTAAAAATAGGTTGAAAGAAATAGAAAATAAGTTGGTAGATAAATATGATATTATATATGAAAAAACCTTTCAAGAAATAAATTCAATTTTTATATCAATTTTTATATATATAATATTTTATTCTAATAATTTTTTTAATAGCAAACTGTAAAAGGGTCATTAAAGCCTTAATTGAATATACATTATATCCAAAGAAAAAAGAATTTAAAAAAGAGATAGAGGTTTACATAAGAACGAATCATGGTGAATTTATAACAGGAATGCTAAAGAAAAAGTGAAATATCTATTATGAGAAGAATTTATATAGACAAGTAATAAATTTTTTGTTTAAATAGAATACTGCCAAGGCAATAGTAGAATATTAAAATATTTAATATAAGAAGTTTTACTTCTAAAATTTTTCAAAACTTGTAGATAAACAATTAACTATTAAATATTTTAAATAATTCAAATATATTCGATTATATTCTAATATATTTGAATTTTAGAATAGTTTTTAGAATATTTACTAACTTCAAAAATATTTAGCTTTTAGAAAAATTTAGATTATTGTGAAGTATATTGACTACTAAAATCAAGGCTTCAATGTTTTTAGTATTTGGAGATCTTTTAGATCCTATTAACAACAAAGCAATATATGAGAAAATAATTAAATAGAAAAGTTTAAATAAAACTGTATTCTGTTTTAAGTGACTTTTTGTTAAAGTTTCTAATAATTCTGAAAAAACTTATATGTCACAAATTTTAAACAAAATTTGGTCTTCTGGTGAAACTACTAATGAAAAGGTTGCATATGCAATCACAGTTTGCCAAACTATTTTAGATCAGAAGCAAGAAAATTTAACTATTTCAGAAAGTATTATTAAAAATAAACTAGCAAAAAATTTGGTAAGCATTTATTATATGTAATTTATTTATATAATTAAATATAGATTTGGTATAATTAGATTACAATCGATTAAATGATTTATTTTAAGTTAATTTATTAAATATATTCGAATTATTTAGAAAAATTAGAAAATAATGAAGCATTTTTCCTACCCATTCTGAAGAAGAAACTACAAGTTTCAAAGAAAGTAACAATTCAGAAGATTCTGAATCAGAAGATTCTGATAAAGTATATATATTTTAACTTGAAAATAATTTAATTATCAGTAATAAATATTAATTTACAAATTAGAATAACAGAACAAAATGCGCAGAAAATTCACAATCATTTGAAAAAATATGTAAATAATTATAAATATAAATTTTTTATTACTTTTTTAATATAATTAAAATTTTTTTAGCCAAGAAAAAGGCCAAGAGAAGGTAAGCATTATTAAAATTTTAATATATAATAATAAAACTATAAAACATTATTATAAATTTAGAAAAAATCCAAATATTACAAAAATTTTAGAAATAACCAACGAAAAGCAAGAAATTGAAGATGATGTGTAATTTTTTTTATTCAAATAATGCTACTTTTTTCTTTTATTTTTTAGAAATTTAGAAATATGTGAAGAAAAGAAACTTGGAAAAAAAATATTATATTTTTTTTATTTTCAAATTTTTTAGAGATATATTGTAATGCTTGTGGAAGGTAGGATTGGTGATACTTGTATTTAATTTGAGAAATTGGTGAATTGGAAAATTGTATAATATCAAAATAAGATATAATTTTAGCGAGAGTATGTGGGTCAGTTGTTTTAATAAAAGAATTTTGAAGAGCATTTTTTAAGCTAGAGTTAATGTTGTTATTTTTAGCAGCAGCTATTAAATAATATTTTAAATAAGTGTGTAGAAAAAGGATTCACATTTAAAATTTGTAGAAGTATTATTAAGTTGCATAAATTGTTGTTCTGCTGAGTTAGCTAATTTTTTAAGGGGCTCGAATAGAAAGAGTTTAGAGAAGATAGCAGTGTTATGGGCGGAATAGCTGCGACTCGGTCGCTCTACAATCCAAATACTCATGTAACTTGCAGGTAGTAACCTTACGAAAGAGGTGTGTTAGATTTGGCTGGTGGGTGATTTAAGGCTTTGGTTACTCTGAGTCAGCAATACTAGATCACGTGAACAAGGGCTTAACGAACGACAAATTATAACTTTAGGGTTCAAAAGTGTATTTGCACAATAGTATTTTTATACAATATTATGGCCAATGTATTTGATAACTTTGAGACTTGGTTATTAGTGAAGCAAACGAAAACTAATTTTTCTTGGGGCGATAACGCCTTTATTTATAATAAACTTTACTTAGGACTTATTATAATTAATAAATCCCGTTTATATATTTTCTTTACTAAAACCCTCAAATCTAATTAAACCTTTAAACTATAAAAAACCCTTCTACTCATGAAAGCTAATAAACTGTCTTTAGGGAATTTACCAGTTTTCTCCGTTATACCCTATTTCCCCATTATACCACCAGCAACTCTATTTTAGGCATTAGATAGTCATAACTGTGAACATCGTGAGCTTGGCGTAGCTTGTACCGATCACGGGTTTCGTATTTCACATTTTGCCCGTTTAAAGGCGAGTTCCACGAGCTGTTATCAATAATTTGCCTTACTTCTGCAACTCTTAAGTCTTGAATATCATAATAGGTGACTATGGCCGTTCGATAGATTTGAGCCATGCTGACAACGACAAAGATATCGTAAACTCTAAGAGCGGTAATGTAATAGTGAGGCGTAACCAGTTCACGGAGTAGCCTTTTTTTTGCGCTGAAGTTGCTCCAGCAAAAATCATTCCCCGGTTCACCTAAAAATACTCTAACTTTTTTCTTCCACTTTTCATTAGCTTTTTCCAAATTCTTTTCCACTATTATTTCGCTTCGGTCAAACCCACCAGGATCGAATTGTTCTTTCGAATCGCCATCTTCTGCACATTTCCAATGCCATTCCCATACTTTATTTTTTTTGGCTCTGGCTCCATTTTCGTAGCGATCTCCAACCAGGTATGTTGTATCCACATCACCTGACTCGCCAGATCTTTGATGATAGGTGAAGGCTTTATTTTCATTCTTTTTAACTCCACCTTCGTTTCGTAACATTCACCGATATTTGTTGTATCTTCTTCGGCCTCGGCAAGTTCGTTTTCGGTAGATTCTTTTGCTCCTCTACTCCATCCGATACTACTTCTAAATTCTTCAACTTTCTTTATCCACGATTCTCAAGCGTAATCTAGGTCTTTACTTTTTTTGGTAAGTTCTTCTACGGCTTCTTTCTTTTCATCGTCTTCTTTGTCTACAATCGTCTCATCGTCGTCATCGTTATCTTCTTCATCTTCGTCAGCTTCGTTGTCGTCATCTTCATCTTCGGTTTTACCTACGATTTTTCCGATTCTCACGGGTACGTTTTCCTTATACTTTTCTTTTTTTTCTTCTTTAGTTTCTTCCTTTTCTTCTCTTTTAACTTCAACTTTTTTTTCTTCGTCCTTTTCAACTCCAGTTTCTTCCTTTTCGACTTCGATTTCTTTCTTTTCTTTAACCTTCTTAACTCCAACTTCTTCGCAGTAAGGTCCAACTGGGTATGTTTCTTCAGCGCCTCCTATTCTAGCAACCTTTATACGATTGTCGGGTAAGTTGTTATTTTTTTCTTCAGCTTCTTTCTTTGTCACCTTAACGTCACTAACTTTCTTTTTTTCGACTTCCATTTTTTTGCCTTTTTCTTTTTCGGGGCCCATTTTTGTATGACAGCTTCACATTCGGCGATAAGCTTTTGAAGAAAAACTTCCAATTCGGTTTCTCGTTCTTCTTCCTTAAAGCCGAAAGCAATACTTTCAAGAGGTTCTTCTGCGGATTCGTCGTAGTAAGCGTCGAATACTTCAGTTACGGTAGGTCTTGGTTGTCGAGACTCCGGGAGAACTTTCGGGATGGGGACTACAGAAGGTACTAGAGGTGGATTCAATTGGATATAGGAGGGCAGGTACACAATATTATCTTCTCCTTCGTCATTGCCATCAGGGTTGTTATTCTGGCTAACATCTGTTAATATTCTAAAAAAATATTCTAGGGCTTGTGGGTCATAAAGACTACGGTCTCTTATGGTTTCATCAACAATTTCCTGGACCTCCACGATTTGTTCCTGGGTAAGTGTATTCAACAACTCCAAACTTTCTAGCTGCATCGTTCATATCTTTAGGCAGCTACTAACATCATGGTTTTTTTTTCTACAATAGGGATACCAAGTCTTTCGTTGAGGCTTTTGTCTAGTTGTTTTCATCATTCAGGATTCAACTTTTCTTCAAGGTTGGTTACATATTGGCAAGGGGTAAATATCGTACAATTTTTTTTTTTTTTTTTCTACTTGTCTTCAATCCTTCGATACGGCTTACTAACACACTAACTCTTGTACTCACTATCCCTATAATCAAAACCATGGTTGGGCCTTTCTCTTGGACCTCAAACTGGAATTCAATCACCTCAACTGTCCACGGTACGTTGGGATAGTTGGAAACAATAACGGTAGTCCTCAATACATTGAGAATCAACCAGACAGGGTACGATACACTTTACGTTAGTCCCGTGAGCACGAATACAAAAGCGTCAATCGTACTTCTTATGCCAGAAGCCTCAACCCGGAATTGTACTATGTTGACTCGGGGTTGGCACTCTTCTTTTTGGGTAAGTTCTCTCTTTTTCTCTAA